ATAAGATTAAGTGAAATTCTTAGCTTGAGGGTTTTAGATTTCCCAGGTAGTGTGAATTCTGGCTATAAACTCTCTTAAGGAACACCTTAAGGTTATGAAATCTCAGGGGAGATTATAGTTTTCCTCCTGTACTCAGTGTCAGGTTAGAGTAAGGTATTTTCCTTGCAGTCTCCTAGGGAGTTGTGTGTGGGAGGTGGCTACTTCCAATTCAGCCTTACACTGAGTACAAGGTCTTATGGGTCCCAGCTCTCGTGGAGAGCATTACCTCCCACACCTTGGATAGGCCCTGGGCATTGTCTCCTGTCCCTGTGTCTCCCCCCACCCCCAAACTGTGAGACTGAAGCTCAAGGTCACCAAGTTCTGCAAATGTCCTCAAGGTTAAAATTTACTCCAGTCTGCTTTCCCTTCTGGGTTCCTACTTTCACATAGTTTTTGTCCTTTGAGTATTTCAAACTCTTTTTTTAAGTTTTGACCAGAATTTTTATGTTTACAGTTAAAGTGGGTATCTAGTCCATTTTGCTGGAGAAATAGAAGACTATTATTATTACAATAAAAAAAATATAGCTGTGTGGGCTTCCCTGGTGGTGCAGTGGTTAAGAATCCGCCTGCCAATGCAGGGGACATGCGTTCGATCCCTGGTCTGGGAAGATCCCACATGCTGTGGAGCAGCTAAGCCTGTGCGCCACAACTACTGAGCCTGCGCTCTAGAGCCCGCCAGCCACAACTACTGAGCCTGCGCACTACAACTACTGAAGTCTGTGCGCCTAGAGCCTGTGCTCTGCAGCAATGAGAAGCCTGCACACTGCAACGAAGAGTAGCCCCCCTCCCTGCAATTAGAGAAAGCCCACATGCAGCAACGAAGACCCAACACAGCCAAAAATAAAATAAAAATAAATTTAAAAAATATATAGCTGTGTATTCATTTTTAGCAATTATTTTGTATTATCTCTCCCTCCAAACATGAAATAACTTCTTCACAAGAGGTCTCTAAGGTTGTCAACTTTTCATGAAGCCTTGAAACAAAGTGGACAGAAATATTACAAAGATAAGACATAGTCTATTATACTACCAGGTCTGTCTTATTCCTAAATGAGATCAGAATTAAGTTATGTCAGTTATAACTGGATATGTTAAATCAATATGTCAGAAATGGCAAAGAGGCCTCATAATCACCCTCTTTGTGCATGGATTTGATGGATATCTGATGATAAACCTCCGGATACTTTACAGTGCAAAGCAACTAAAAGCCCAGTTTCAGAACACGAGGGAAATGCTGGGTGTTGGGTATTGGGAACCTACAAAATATCCAAACCTTCCTTTAGGGCTAAAACTCTTAATCAAGCTATCATATTTGTTGAGAAACTATAAAATATACTGGCTTAACTTTTGTTACATTTTTTTTTTTTGCCTTCCCATTCTCTGAGGGTGGGATGATAGAAGGTAAAATATCAAAGGAGACTAAAAATCCCCAAACCAGGTCCTTGATTCCCAGAGTAGTATAACGACACTGTTACCATCTCCTGAGAGCAGTGCTTCCCAGACCAGGCTCCTGGAATACCCTGGATTGCCCGACATTCCCTTCGCTCTCTTTGGACTCAAAGATACTGCTAGGGAGAAAGGGAATTAGGGAGAGAAAGGGGGAAGGATGGAAGATAAACTATAAAATATGCTTTTGGAGGAAAACGATTCCCTTGACAGGGTTTTTGCTCACCTTCAGAATTTGGTAAGCTTTTTACACAGCTTGATGGACCCTGAATTTTTACCCTGCATTTGTTTGGCTTAAGATTTTGTTAAGCTTCTTAAAATAGAAGTACCTCCAGGACACAAATGCCTGCTGAACAGGGAATAGCAAATCAGTGACAGTGACCACAGGAAGTTGTGGGACTGTTGCAGATTGGAGAAGACACCCCTGTCCACAGGGGCAGCCTCTACTCGACTTGGCCAGCTGTTCATAGGCAGGAATGTGGACCTTGTGATGTTTTTTCAAAAGTAGAAATCAGGGCTTCCCTGGTGGCGCAGTGGTTAAGAATCCACCTGCCAATACAGGGGACACGGGTTCAAGCCCTGGTCCGGGAAGATCCCACATGCTGCAGAACAACTAAGCCCGTGAGCCACAACTACTGAGCCCGCGTGCTTAGAGCCCATGCTCTGCATCAAGAGAAGCCACCGCAATGAGAAGCCCGCTCACCGCAACGAACAGTAGCCCCCGCTCGCCGCAACTAGACTGCGTGCAGCAATGAAGACCCAATGCAGCCAAAAATAAAAAAATAAATTTATTAAAAAAAAAGTAGAAATCAGCATCTTTGTGAGAAATTTCATGATTTTTAAAGTGTTAGCAACGAATCCCACATTAAAAAAAACAAAAAAACCACACACACAGAAAAGGCCAAACAGAACACATCTGTGGGCTGGATACTGTCCATGGGTCACCAGTTGGCAACCTTTGTTTTGGACTTTGATCCCTGGATGCCCCCTTGTGAAAGAATTTATCACCTTTGCTAGAGCAGAACAGAGAGAGGGAGAGAAGAGGCATAGGGCCACTTGTGTGGAGCTGTATGAGGACAGAGGAGAGGTGGGTGAGGGAGACGCCTGCAGCGAGGCCCTCACTGTTCTGAACGGACTGGGCCCTGGGCCAGAAAGCCATGTGGTGGATGTGCTGCCTTCTCAACAGCTGGATATGAAAGAACAAGTCAGATCCTACTTCAGGATGCTATTAATTCCAAATGTGAGCTTGCGGAGTCATTCTTTCCATATGGAATTCATAAAAGAATGTAAAAAACATTTTCAGGGGAAATATGCAATTTCCCTGGAAGATAAGTAAGTTTATAACACTATTTACATAAAATGAATGAAAGCTACTTATAGGTAATTCTTTCCTAGTCATTGATTAAACAGATCTCTAAAGACTTAACCCAGGCAACATTCCTTAGTTTTGTTACATGAAAAAAAATTTTATAACACATCATTTTAGCTTGTTTAGATGGACTTTTAACCATGCTCTGAATATAAGATCTCATTGTGTTGCATCAAGCCTGCTTACAACCCTCAGGTGGGCGGCAAATGGTATAATCCCTCCATCCCCCATGGGTTGGTAAATGTTCCCACTTTTTTTTTTAACATTTGTCAAAAAACGCTTTATGACTGAAATATGACAAATGGCACATATTTAAAGTGTGCCATTTGGTAAGTTTTGACATGTGTGTGTACCAGTGAAGCCATCACACAATCAAGATAAAAAACATATCCATCACCTACTACCATGAAAGTTTCCTTGTGTCCTTTTGCATCTTCCTCCAACCCCCAGGTAACCGCTAATCTGCTTTCTGTCACTAAAGATAAGTTTGCATTTTCTAGAATTTTGTAGGAATGGAATCATACAGCGTGTCCTCTTTTGTTTGGCTTTTTTCACTCAGCATAATTATTTTGAGGTTCATCATGAGTACTGTGTTTATCAGTTCTCTTGCTGAGTATTATTCCATTGTGTGAATGTAAGAGTTTATACTTGTTGATAAAAATTTGGGTTGTTCAAAATTCAAAAAGAGTCATATACCAAAATGTTCATTTCAGCTCTATTTACAATAGCCCGGAGATGGAAACAACCTAAATGCCCATCATCGGATGAATGGATAAAGAAGATGTGGCACATATATACAATGGAATATTACTCAGCCATAAAGAGAAACGAAATTGAGCTATTTGTAATGATAGACCTAGAGTCTGTCATACAGAGTGAAGTAAGTCAGAAAGAAAAAGACAAATACCGTATGCTAACACATATATATGGAATTTAAGGAAAAAAAAGTCATGAAGAACCTAGGGGTAAGACAGGAATAAAGACACAGACCTACTGGAGAACGGACTTGAGGACATGGGGAGGGGGAAGGGTGAGCTGTGACAGGGCGAGAGAGACGCATGGACATATATACACTAACAAACGTAAGGTAAATAGCTGGTGGGAAGCAGCCGCATGGCACAGGGATATCGGGCTCGGTGCTTTGTGACCGCCTGGAGGGGTGGGACAGGGAGGGTGGGAGGGAGGGAGACGCAAGAGGGAAGAGATATGGGAACATATGTATATGTATAACTGATTCCCTTTGCTATAAAGCAGAAACTAACACACCACTGTAAAGCAATTATACCCCAATAAAGATGTTAAAAAAAAAAATTTGGGTTGTTTTCAGTTTTGGGCTCCTTACAAATGGGGTACCATGAACGTCGGTGTACAAGTCTTTGTATGATCATACGCTTTCAGTTTGCTTGGTAAATAAATACGTAGGAATGGAACACCTGGGTCATATGGTCCCATATATGTTTAACTTTTTTAGGAAATACCAACTGTTTTCCAAGGTGGTTATACTGTTTCATATGCCCATCAGTAGTGTAGGAGAGTTCCAGTTCCTTCACATCATCTCTAACACTTGGTATTGTCTGTCTTTTTGGTTAAACCCATTCTAGTGGGGGTGAGATGGTATCTCCGTGTGGTTTTAATGTACAAGTTACTAATGAGCATCTTTTTATGTGCTTATTTGCTCTTTATATAACTTCTTTGAAGTGGCTGTTGAAATCGTTAACTGGATTGTGTGGCATTACTGAGTTTGAGAGTTCTTTATGTGTTCTGGATTCAAGTCCTTTATCAGATAAATGATTTCCCAGTATTTTCTTCCAGTCTGGGCTTGATTTTCATTCTTTTAACAGTGTCTTTTGAAGAGCAGAAATTTAAAATTTTGATGAAGTCCAATTTACCAGTTTGTTTTCTTTCAGATTGTGCTTGTGTGTTGTATCTAAGAAATATTTGCCTACACCAAGATCATAAAGGATTTGTTTTACGTTTTCTTCTAGAAATGTTAGAATTTAAACTTAGGCTTTTAAAAACAAATAGTTTATTTGTTTAATTTTTAAAATTGAAGTATAATTGACCTACAACCCTATGCTAGTTCCAGGTAGGTGTACAACATAGTGATTCAATATTTCTGTATTCCACAGAATAATCACCACTGTTCCCAGTTCTTTATGAGCTTACTGAAATATCTCCTTCCCTCTTCCCACAAAGGACAGCCTTTTCTACCTTGAGGAGGAAGAGAAACATAGACTACAATGACGGAGAACCGCCAGATGTGCACAGGAAGCTGCCATCCAGTGCTGCAGAGGACTGAGCCATGCTGCTAGGGTTTGCAATGATAGGCTTCTCTGTCCTAATGTTCTTCTTGCTTGGAATAACCATCCTAAAGCCCTTCATGCTCAGGTAAGAGAGAGAGGAGACCTAGAATTTCCAGTTCAAATCAGGTGCAAGCACAGTGGTAGAGGAGGGGAGGGGAGGCTGGCTTTGGTTTCTCCAGAATCCCTGTTCCTCTCTCAGTGCTGGGAGGCAACTGGGTGTGGAGGAAGAGGTGGTAAGAAAGTGGAAGATACTCCTTTGCCGCTCCCCTCCTCCAATCTCAAAATTCTTTCAACAATGGTCCACATATTAGATATTTCTGTAGGTAGTAAAGTCTTTCTTTAACATGTAGATATCCCAGGGAAGGGGATGAGCATGAGCTTTTGCATGAGCATAACAAAAGTTTTTTGAGTCTGAGTTTTTTGAGTTTGCTAATAGCTACCTGGCACATAGCATTTGCTCAATAAATATTAGTTTTCTTCCTTTTAAGTAGTTTCCTTAGTAAATACATGTAATAATTTACCATTTATTAAATATATATGTCAAATATATATTTTATCCTATTTAAACCTATAGCAAGTCCATGATGGAAGTATTATTTTATTACTTAACTTTCATTTTATGAATGAGAAAGCTGAGGCTCAGAAAGGCCAAGTAGAATACCCAAGGTCATATAGCCAGTAAAGAATCTGCCTATTCATTCTGATATAAGACTCTTTGCCTCCTGATACTTAACTGAAGTTTGCTGCAGTGAGGAGGATGGGAGTGTTGATTAGGGTTGTAGAGGAGCTGTTTAATTTTGGGGACAGGCTCACACAACATGGGGTACTTTGGAGGAGGGTGGCACTGGGTAGGGGGTAAGCAAGGTATACCTCCCCTTTGGCTAGCCGAAGAGCAACAGAAGGCCCAGGGGGTAGAGGAAGAGGGAGGCCTAGGAGTTCAGTGAAGAAAAAGGTCATAGGCAAGGAACTGTATGGCCTGCTTTTGTTATTCTGATATCAGATTCATCTCCCACCATTCCTGAGTTACCATTGTTAGGGCAATAATATGGAGGTTATCCTCCACTATAGCACACAGTGCCACCATTGGAAGGATTCCAGGGGAATTGTCTCTCTGATATTAGCAGCAGGAGAATCTGTTCTGCTCCTGATCAACCAGTTTGCTTTTATTCAGTGGACACCAGGAATCTTTTATCTGGTTGTGTTTCCTTCATTGCTTTGGCTGCTAGGAAGCTCAGAGCCAAATTTGTGGCCCAGCTTTTATAACTATAGGGGATCTTATGGTCTGGAGGCTACATGTTTGTACCTTACTCTTGCCTTCATTCTAGCTTTCTACCTTCCTTTTCCTGTTACTCCATTTTCCATCTATATATCTATATCTGCATTACATACATCTACATAAGTTCAATAAATGTGTGAGTGTGTGCATGTGTGTGCAGGTCAGATTATTTTTTTTAAATGTGATATATTTGGGAGATGGTTTGAAGTTACCTTCTGTAAGCTAGTACCAAACTGTTACTCATATTTAAAACTTACTTTTCTAAGCATTTCTGGAAATAGTTTGCTGGAAGTAATTAAGGGAATGTTTAAGAGTGGTGAGTTCTCATCTCTCTTGCCTTGTGATCTTGTGCCACCAGAGAATAGTTTTGCTTCATAAAAGATGAAGGTTTTGCTTCATAACAGTTGAGAGGCTTGGGTAGCTCATACCTATCCCCACTCCCTTATACCCTCATTTCTCAATCAAACGATGGAATTTGTCTATTTGTTGACAAATAGACACACAATACTATTGAAAGAACATGCTGAATGTTTCAGCCTTAAATACATTCCTGGTTCTACCTGAAAGCCTCTGGCCTGGCCCTTGTACATAGGAAAGAATATCCCACTCTCTATATTGGAGCTTCCTGAAATCTTCAAGGAAGGTTCAGATCAAACTCTGTTTGGCACTTGGTTAGGATTTAGAGAGTTTTAAGTTCTAACACAGAAAGGCAGACAACTCTAAATACTTTAAGATGCCTGGTCTAAATAAGTAGAGAAATTAATTTTGTGAAAATCAGGCCAGTGCTAAACCTGTGAAGGAACCTTATTTTCCATTTTTGCATTTTCACTTGCCCAGTATTTTATTCCTCTAAGGCCATATCTAGTGATTTTTTTTTTATGCCCTGGGCCTTGAGATCACATTAAAATGCAGTGTGTCTCAGTTTGTTATGTTAATAAAGAAAAATGATTACATACAGTCCAAGATCTTAATGAGAGTGCAGTCTGAACCTAGCTAAACAATGCTTTTCAAACATTCTGGCTTTAGAATTTGCTAATCTAACTTCTTGTGTTTAAGGCGCAGGGAAATAAACACAAAGACTCACCTAGATGTGAGTGTGAGGATACATGAGGAGGTGGACCTGTGCATTCAATCGAGCCTTTCCTCTCACTCTCGTTTACTTTATCTTGGACCTGTTCTCTAATTATTTTATACACAAGTGTCCTTTCTCTTCAACACCACCGCGAAGTCTTCATGGGCAGGAATTTTGTCTGCCCCGTCTCATTGCACCTGTGACATTCTGTATATGCAGTGCATGTGTAAATTCTCAAGGAATGTTTAAAATTTAATTCAGTACAACACGTATTGAGCTTCTACTGTGTGAGAGGCATTGTGCTTTATGCTTTGAGGAACATAAAGACGAATAGGATATAGTTCTTGACCTTAAGGAAATTACTAATAGTAAAAACATGGCAAGTTTTCTAATGAGAGATTCCTCATATGATTTGCATTTGCCTCTTTGGAAGTAGAGTGGAACTGTACCTTGTTACCACAACTTTCGGAGGCTATGTTGTCTAAGAGCCCTGTGGTTGGACTTCTTCCAAAGGCACATTTTCACCAGGACAAGCCAGTGGGGGCATCTTGAGATGATGAGGCAGGAGAGAGATTTCTGAGTGTGAATCTTTGTGGTTACGGTATTTAGGATAATATTGCACAAAGTGTGGTTCTCCAAATACCTGCAACTTAAATACTATTAAATATACAGATTCATGGGCCTCAACTTGGATCAACTGAACCCGAATCCCTGGGAGTGAAGTCATAGAACCCACGTTTTAACAAATTCTTCATTCTACGAAACCCACTCAGGTGATTCTGAAGTTTGAAAACCATTGATCTATAGTGAGAAACATGCAAGGAGGGTCATAATTGAGATGGAACTTGGCACTTTGCTGCTGTTTGTCCCATTGCAAGCTTCTCCATGCTCCCAAATCATTAGATGCCTTCTGTAATCATCCTACATTGCTCTGAAACAGATGCCTTGGGTTACCACATTAGAAATATAGGACTAAATTTTCTAGGGGTGAAAATCATTTATTTTTTTCCAAATTGAAGCACTCAAGAGAGAAGAATCTAACTGCACTATCATCCACACGCACATCTTGGACGACTGGATGGACTGTCTTTCACCTGTGGTGTGGACTGCCAATGTCAGGGCAAGTACCCGTGTCTGCAGGTGTTTGTGAAGCTCACCCATTCAGGTCAGAAAGTGCTCCTACATTATAATGAAGAGGCTGTCCAGATAAATTCCAAGGTAGTGTAAAGTTCATGTAATGAAACAGTTCTAATTACAGCAACTTTTCCATGGCAGACTGTCCCTAGCAAGGTGCAGCAGCCATCTCCAGATAAACCTGTTTTCTTCCAGTGAACATTGTGACAATGACCCAATCAGGATAAATGAAGCTAAAAGCATTCTTGGAGGAAAATGGGGTATATAGAAAAGAGAGGTCATATTGGTGTCTGGAATTTAAAGACTGGGCCAATGAACAGAATTATTCATCATTCTTATTTTTGGCAGTCTTATTTTTGGAGGTCCCATTTCCCATCATATCGAAAACGTTAAAATGTACTTACAGTCCACCTTAAATCAAACAAGTAATTTTTCTTATCAAAGAAATTTAAACATTATCCTTTAAAGGATACTGAACAGGTTCATATGATTTAAAGGGTACATTTTCACATAACTATAAAAGTTGAGCTATATTAGATTAGTTGACATTTTACACTTTGTTGTGTTTACTTAAGCACTAATTTCAATCTGATGAGTTTGGTTTTCTATTTTGGATGCAGTAATCTTTAAGGTCTCAAACAGTTTTGTGGCCCTTGGCACAGTGTCGTGAGTGCTTGGTGGATATGGCGATAAACCTCAATGTCTTTATTCCCACATCCTGTTTAGTGCTCAGAAATGGCCATTTCACTATTTGCCCTCCTGGCAACCCTTCCCCATGAGCTATGTAATAGGTTTCATCACCTTCTGAGATTAAAACTCCTCATAGCTTCAGTCTGAAGCGATTTCAGAATTAAAGCTTTTGTTTAAGTGCTTGTTTTCAGAGACAGTGCCCTCACCTTTCTTCCTCCTCCATATTCCTAGTGCTTCTATACACCTAAGTGCTACTGGGATAGAAATGATTTGCTCGACAGTGCTCTGAACATAAAGGAATTCTTTGATCACAAAATGGGACCCCCTTTTCATGCTTCCACACTCCAGACAGCCGATCCGAAGATGTCATTCGCATAAAAAATATGACCAAATGGTTATCTTCCACTGTTTATTTTGGCCTTCATGACTGATAGATGGTGCCCTGATAGTTGGCATGGTGAGATTAACACAATACCTGTCCCTCTTATGTGAAAAATATAGCACTGCACTCAGAGACGAGGTAAGTGCAAAGTTCCTTACCTGGCACAGCATCAATTTAAACTGTGGAGTGTTGGGAGGAGCAAAGGAAGGAGCAGAGAAATCTTAAGATGGTGGCCAAAGTCCGGGCCTTCAGATACCTGCAATTTCTGCACTTGAGGACCTAATTATGCCTGCTTGCAAACTAACTGCGTAGAAGCAAGGTATGACATTTCATGTGAGAAAGAAAAATCTCATTAAAAAGTCTCATTAGGTATTTATTTATTCTATAAATACATATAAATTCACCATCTTTTTTTTACTCCAAATCTCTCCACATCAGCCGGTAAGCATTTTTTGTTTCCACAGGGCAAAATGAGCTCACAGTCATTGTGCTTCATCTAATATCAGCTCTAGCTAGAACTTGTCATTGTGGAAATAAATGAGGAGGGTTTCTAAGCTATTGAGCACTGAACAGCCAGTCTAGTTCTATGCAACATAGTTCACATTAAAACATTTCTCAAGTCTTAGTGAAGAGCAGTTCATTCACTATAGAAGATAATAATCTGATAATTTCAGAAAATGTGGACCTACTGTTTTACCTCACCATCCATGAGAAAGGAGGAAAGCCACTGCCTAGGAAGTTCACTAAGCTTAGCCTTATTTGTACTTAACCTTGCCGTGTACCATGTGATTTTTCTTTGAGCGACAAGTTTTTCTAATTATGCTTTCCGTAAGCGCATTTTGTTCTTTGTGTACATTCTGGAGGGAGTGAGAGCTAGAAATGTGTTATGAAGTAGGGAGAAGCTGTACTGGATGGAATTTAACATTCATCTCAGGGAATCCGCATCATAGAAAAGTCCCACATGGATAGTCAACAGTTGTCCGTACTTTAATTAATGAATCAACCATGGTTATTAAATACTGTCACAAGACTCTCCGAACAAGTGCTTTCCAGGTTAAGGTGAATATGAGTTGAAAACAGTTCGTTTTGAAACCAGTGTTCCTCAAAGTATCTTTACAATTTTACTAAAAAACTTGTACATCATGGACAATAGAAAGAATGACTTTTGAAACAACTTTTATACGTAGATGTAATCAAAACAGAAACTTTGACTCTAAGCCAATTTAATTCTTTTTAGCAAATAAGTGCAAGTCACACATTATTAAATAAAATGAATAATAGAGCACTATTGACTTCACCAGCAGTGAACAATTTTGGTGTTTTCTCCTCTTTCTAGTGTGGAATAGTGGCGAGAACATGTATCTCAGAGTACAATTTTTTTGAATTTGTAGGCCATAATTACAACTTTTCAGATATGTATCCTTGGGCAATTCAGCTGAACTGTTTGAGCCACTCTTATCTATAAAATGGGGATGATCTCTTCTTTCATGAGCTTATTTTTAGAGAAGAAACAAGGAAAAGTATGTAAAACACCTAGCTTAGTTTCTGGTACGTAGCAGAGGTGCTCAAAAATGTTTGTTAGTAGATAACAAAACTTTTGCTACGTTTCAGTTTTCAGTCAGCCTTATCCCTCTTCTGGGTATATACCCAAAGGAAATGAAATCAGGATCTCCAAGAAATATCTGCATTCCCATGTTCACTGCAGCTCTATTCACAAGAGCCAAGATATGGAAACAACCTAAGTGTCCATCAACAGATGAATAAATTGTGATATATATATGTATGTATATATGTGTGTGTGTATATATATATATATGTGTGTGTGTGTGTGTGTGTGTATAAATACATGCAATGGAATATTTTTCAGCCTTAAAAAAAAGGAGATCCTGCCATTTGCAACAACATGGATGAACCTGGAGGGCATTGTGCTAAGTAAAATAATTCAGACACAGAAAAGAAAAAACTGCATTTCACTTATATGTAGAATCTAAAAAAGTCAAATACATAGAAAGCAGAGAGCAGAATGCTGGTTACCAGGGGTGGGGAGGTGGGGGAAATTGGGAGATGTTGGTTAAAGGGTACAAACATTGTTATAAGATGAATAAATCTCAAGATCTAATGTACAGCATGATGACTATAGTTTATACTGTATTGAATACTGGAAATTTGCTAAGAGAATAGAGTTTAGGTGCTCTCATCACGCACACACACAAAAGGTAACTATGTGAGGAGATGATACGTTAATTGGCTTGACTGTAGCAATCATTTCACTATGTATATCAAATCATCATATTGTAAACCTTAAGTATACACAATTCTTATTAAAAATAAATTCAAGCAGTCTTGGTACCTTTTGTTGGACAGCTGGGTATAGGGGCTGGGGTAGGGAGCTGCAGGAAAGGATTCCTCCCCACCTTCTCTTGGCTAAATATCATATGCATTTAAGGTCCAGAACATGATGTTTAAAAGGTCGTAATAAGTTTTTGTATGCCAAGGACTTCCCCATAATAAAATATATGTATGCATACACACTTTAAATCATTCTGCAAATTCAGATTCTTTAGATTTCTTAAATTAAGGGCACATATCTATTCCATTTCTTAGTAAGTTTGACACCCATCTAACAATATGCAGTTCTTTGGATTTTTCTTCTAACAAATTCAAAACAGTCTGAAACCTGAAGTGCATGAAAGTGTGAAACCTAAAGTGTTTCAAATACTACAATTTTCCATTTATTTAGTGGCTACTTGGTCCATCTCAGGAAAGAGAGACATTATGCTTGAAGAACAAAGTCAGTTTACAACAATGTTAACTCAAAGTCACTCTAACCATTTGGAAAATAAACAAAATTTTAGCAATTATTTGCTGTGAATTGCTTAGAAGTACTGAATATCAATGCCCATGTGAATTACTGGTCCAAGAAAAGCCCAGACTTACCTTTTGCAAGGTTTATGATAGCTGAATGCAAAACCAGTTTGCTTCTAGCTGAACTTCACTTTTAGGTTCTAGTCATCAACTGACTTGGGAAAAAGTCTGTCCACACATACAAACACATTCATACATGTATGTGTACACATATATTTCTGCTTAAAATACAAGCACATAATTCTTCATGCTTAAAGGAAGTTAATATTTAAACAGGTATTTCTCTAATATTCATCACTTTACTGGGACAGAAAAATTGGCTTTTAAGGCATAATAGTTTCAGGTTTTTAGTCAACTATACTTAGTCATTATTGACAAGAACTCAAATTCAGCTAAATTTTGATTATTAGCAACACTGGTGTGCTGTTAAGTATTAAAAAGAAATGGCAAAATATAATTATCACAGTTTTTTGTTTAACATATAGTACACTAAGGATTGTTTGGACACAAGTCAAAGTAATATTTTTTTTTAATAAACAGCGTGACGTTACAGACTGCAAAGTTAAAGTAAAGCAGACATTGACAGTTTCTGATGAGCATAAACAGTAAGTGCAGTCACAGGCCAAACTTCTTGCCAGGAACAGCAAGACTGGGGAGAGGTCTTAAATTTAGTGACACTGTATTATTCTATATTCTCAGTACAATAACACATGCACTTGCTGTGTCAAATACTTTTTGGGCCATCATTAAAAGAACATTTAAAAACATTTTCCTCCTAACTAATGCAGTATACCACAGGACTCCAACTTATTGAATGACAAAATATAGTGAAATAGATTTGCTACAATAAATCAGACTAAAGAGGGTGATGGGAACTCCTTTTTGAAGCTTCCAAAGTCAACAGTTGATGTATCAGTACTCTAATTTTGGTAGTGCCACATTCCCAAGATGTTACGTTCTAAAAGCATACATTCCTTTAGATTTTATTCAATCCAATAAAGTCTGAGGACTGAGTCACATTGAAACCATTAACTGCATTAGAAACTTTGGTTCCATAGCCAAAAACATTTCTACAAATCAGATGAAGGCCAAGCTGTCCAGTACTCTTAGGAACATAAATCTGATAAGAGGATTTTTCTTATGAAATCAGTGGATAGTGACCACATTTGGAAATTTATACTAGAATTAAGGAGTTTAGCCTTATTAAAGATATTCTGAGAAAATAATAAAACAGTGAAGGTTTTCTGCCTCCTTGCTATCCTAGGATTAACAAAAGAAAGAATCACCTAAAAGTATACATGGCTCTTAGCATAACCACAAAATTATTGTAGTGAGAGATTAAATAATGTTTTAGATAGATTCATAAACTTAATTTAATGCTTACAAAATGCATTACCCTCCCCATACTTACCAACATGAGGACTGGAGTCTACTGTTGGTAGTGAAAATCAGCTACCAAACTACACTAATATGTACAGTGGACTGATTTTACTTTTTTCTTCCCTGCTAAAACTCTTAAATGTAGTTGTGTAAAAATTAAGTCGTTAAGATTTTCTTATGGCTCGTAACTATCACTTTATGCTACCTAGCATGGCTGAAATATGAACATATCTAAAACCAAGCAAAAGGAATGGCGCTGCATTGATAAAAGTGCAAAACCTTACTCAAGTGGAGTACTTGAAGGAAATAAGCTTGTTTAAAAACTAACATCCCAACTTGGGACACTCCTAATCAATTTTAAACTCTTCTGAATTTTAGAACCTTGATGTTTACACCTTTTATAAAGGATGCCTCTTGACTAGGGCTAGCAAGCACTGTGTATACAAATAGAAATGTCTGCAAATATACACACACCAATTTCACTAATAATAAAGAAAACAAAACTAATTTCAAATGCCGAATTCAAGAAGCCAGTACCATGAACCTCCTGGCACTACTGCCTTTTCCTAATGGTTGGAGCAAAGATTAAATTTTAACACAAATTTTTTCTTAATGTCTCCAATGCCATTAAAAACAAGGCATGCCAACTCTGACTTTATAAATCTAAAATACAGTGCCCTGCAAATTTCTGTCGTATCAGAGCCGGAAGTACTGAATTATTGACTCATCTATTTTTTTTCCTTATTAACCTTCTGAGGTAGAGTTACCCATCCAATTTTATCAGGACCATAGTTATCGTAAGCTAAACACTATATTCTTTTCAGAAAGTGAAAATAACTTTGAAGAGAAAAGAAAAAAGGCTTCCCAGGCCATGGCACATAAGATACATTTACAATTTTTAATGTAATAATTAAAAAATAAAAATGGTTTGTCTTTATATTTTAAAAAACAGCCCAGCTGTATTATTCTCTGTCACCAAGAATTATTGATATTGTCTGAGGATTCTATCAGTGCTAAATTATATAGTTCAGCCTTCACAATCCCATCCTTGATGAAGAGTTAATTCCCTCATGTACGCACAATATACTCTCACAACTTGCAGCCATCTCTTAGTGCCCGATCTGAGCAGGATGGATATGAAGGATGTAATTCATTCAAGCAACTCCTCCCTCCACATTCCCCTCTTCTCAAAAACATCTGAAGTATGAAAGTTGTTTTTGAATGGTAGAAGCACCACAATCCATAACACCACATATGGTCTTTAAACTGAAGTATTTTAGTGATGTCTTGGACATCAAAATCAATTTTTAAGGTGGATTTTGAATGTGTGGGTCCAGCCCAGGTCTGCAGTTTGTGCAGATACAGAAACAAAAGGAACTTATAACATTCAGAAAAAGTTAACTTGCTGATTTTAAAATAATGCTGGAAATTAAATTTCTTCAAAAGTTGGCAAGCATGAGCTACTGGTCATGATATGAATTAAATGGATTTACAAATCATTAAGAAACCCAAGTTTATGTACTGTGAAATTTCCATGGTGCCTTTAAAATAGGCTGCTCATAATTTTTTTAATAAATGCCAAATCACTAGATTTTTGATGGAAAAAAATACAGATGGACTGTGTTTTACCTATTTGAAAATCACCAATCCATTTAAAATAAAATCCAAGAGGGTATATACATTCTAATCAAGTAATTGATTATTTTCCTGATTAATAAGAACTACACTTTACACAAAATACTTTATCAGCAGCTGTTTTCTTCAAAAAACCAATAGTCATAGTTTCACAGTTGAAAAAGTTACACATTAAAATATTTTACAATTCATTGTATATTCACCAGGTTCCCATTTCCTAAAGGGCTTGTAATATAAAGCAGATTAGAAGGGAAAAACCTCAAAGTTGATTACTTTGACACTAAGTTTTACAGAGGACACTAAGAACCACAAAAAGCTTAGGTTCTATCGTAAAATAGTGACCAAATTCCATTCTTCTTTAAAAAACCCAATTAGAAACATCTTTTTAAAAAACCAAATTCTACAACATGAGTAACAGATTTTAAATTAACAGCATTCTAAAAATCTTCAAAATAAATGATTTTATATAGCTGAGAATGATAAAAAGTTAAAGCATGATTTTCAAATAGTTGATTATTTCTTGCTAGAATGTGTTTAAATTAGTTTTATTTTCTTTAAACCTGATTTTCTTCTTTTCTCCAAAATAGTCATTGAAGGAAATATTGCTCAAGTGACCAAATGAAATTGTTGAGCCAATACTCAGTTATACCACATTCAATGACAAGGATGGTCAGTCATAGAAACTGACCAACTGGAATTGATCTCTGATACTCAAGTACCTGGAAGTAGCTATATTATCACTGACTTGAAACATATCCTAGTCACCCCATGTAGCATTTAATTCAATTTCTGGTTCCTTGCCTTCTGAGTACTACCTATCCATTTTCCCTTATTTTTAAGGTTGTTTACATAAACTCTGCTTGGATTTGTTTGAAATGTACTTTGCATTTAGCTAGTTCATTTAATGTATATTCTTTATAGAATTTGTCTACATTTCTTCAAACGGAATTAATTTGGCTGTAATAACTTAAAAATAAACGTAAATGATAAAAGTTATGTGGCTTGTGTTTTAATGGTGGAGAGGTCCTAGGGGAAGGGGAACTATCTGGACTGATGTGAAAAATGCAAAAATTGTATAAACTTTGTGCAAGGAAGCTCAAAGCTTTTTTGGCACTCAGTAAAACACAGTTCTCTGTTAAAAACTTCAGATTCCACCATCAAAGCTTCAGATTTGTACCATTTCACTGAGTTTTCCTGTAATTAATCCCTGATATAGAAAATACTGGGATGTTAGTATGTATTAACTGAATAAATCTAAAAGACACTAATTGTTAATCATGAAATTTTAATGTTATGAAATCTGTATCTGCAAAAGAATCTATCTGGTCTCCTGCTAAAACAAAGTTTAAATTCTTCTTAACTATTCTAAGACAGTTTAGGGAAGTAAGTTCCCTAAATAAGTTCCCAAATTTATTTTTCTTGCTGGCAATATTATGTACATGCTTTAGTGAGGTACCTAAATCTCCAGTAATTATGCCCTTTAAGGGTTCTAAAATAGTCAAATATTAAGAGTATTTGTATTAGAGTCCCGTTCACTATTCAAGACTTCTACTATAGGTAACTGATTTCATAAATGAATATTTTTTAAGTGATGCTGTATAAAATGTGCAGTCTTCATTAAGTTGTACTCCAATAATATGCCTAGTCTAGAAAACTGTCAGTAAATTATTGCACTTTTTCTGGTGTGGCACCTGGACATTTGCTAAAGCTATGTCCTAGGGCATTAATCATTCATTTGAAATAGTAAAATATCAGATTGTAGAGTGATAACTAGCCTTAGCCCCTACATCTTGGGTTAATGTTTTTCAAAATGTTTAAGAATGTATCCTGTGCTCAAATGCAATTTAATAAAGTTGGAGAGTGAGTCCTGACAACTCGGAAATGGGACATGATCTTAAAATGGTTTAAGGCCCTAATTTTATTATGGAGATACTGAATAAATAGGCTAAAAAGGTAAAAAGTTCATGGTTTCTATTCCCCCTATTATAAAGTATTATTCATGAACATACCTTGGTAGAGGGGTAAGCAATCAGGAAGATAGTCTAAATTGTGTTAATTTTGGTAACTAATTTCATATGGTTGAGGCATTCTCAACTATAAAAGAGGATGGAAGATGGGGGATTCAAGTGAAAACAGAAGAAAATAAAAGGAAAGAGGAGGAACTTTCATCTGTTTTCCTTAAGTAGTTATACACCAGTCATTGGTATAAATGGGATAGTGCCTGAGCCTCACCCACAGATCAAGAGAAACGCTGACCATGCTGCTACAAACAATAAAAAATTTGGGGTGCAAAACAATGCATGACTATGGGACAGATCATGTAAATAAAGAATATATATTAATGATAGTTTCTATAATATAAATAGCCTTTAATAAAAAAAATAATCTTTTTAATAACATTAATACTCACTTCTATTTTCTGGAAAACATGCATGAAAAATGTATTCAATTCATTGCAAAAGGAGAAAAAAAAATCTAAGGTGAATACTGTACAATTCTGGAGCAAGAATTATTCCTGCTCGTTCTTTCTCTATGATGATTATTTACTTTGTGGGAGCCCAGAATTTCCCTGGGAAATAAGAATCAGATTCTTGTAAATACTGTCCAGAAAAAAAACCCCAAAACACCACCTTATAACAGGTCTCATTTGTGACTGCTTCCCAAACTTTGCAGATAAGACCCCAAATCATCAAAAGGTTTGATTTATTAAAAAGGAAAAGTCTCTGATGAAATCTCAAGAGTCCCTTACACCCCAAGCATTTTTCTTCATCAAACAAGGAGTCA